CAGATGTTGTTTAGAACTTGATATAATAACCAAGAAAGATATAAAAAATAAAATAATGCAATAATGACTGTAGACAGACCTTTAGATTTTGCATGAGATGTAGCACTTGAATCATCACTCGGCTTTAAGTCTACATGTTCTCCAGACTTATTGCTGTTAACGTCACGTTTTTTGTCAAGTAGTGGAGCTAAGGAATTGAAATAATAATAATAATAATCTTTATTGCACAAAAAATTGTTTTATGCTCCAGGAAAACTTGCTCGCACTGGTGATTCTCAGAGAGGTCCTGGAAATAACTTAAATGAAATAAACGGAAAAATAGGACAATACAGTATATTAAAATACCTGATCATAAAAGCATAAATAATAAAATATAAATTAGGCTAATGTATATAAAGCTAAAATTTGTAAAATATATCGTAAAAAGAATATATGAATTTGTAAGCCTAACTAAAGAAATTGCATTTGAAGACTTGAACACTATATATACTAGTATAGAGTTCTTTAATTCTTGACTTAGATCTTTCCATTTGTTAACGGCCTGATATTCAATCCTTTTATTTCCCCAGTTTCTTTTACAGTTAGTTTCACAAAACTTCAGCCGCTTTAATTCCGAAGTTAGTTCTCAAGTTCTCCAAGTTGGTCCGAAACTTGCAAACTTTTTGTGAAATTGGTTCAATCAACCGTGACTTGTTTATGTCTAGAATTCAAATATTTACTGGAATTGACCTTCTTTAAACCATATACTTTTCGTAAATCGTATTCCAGATAACATACAGAGTTAAATTCCTTTTGTCGCAATAAAATTCACTTTGAAAATTGAATTTGAACAGTAGATTTGATGAGTTTTAGAAGCTACTGTGTTATCAGTTTGAAACATCACCGACAACTGTCGGAACTTCAGAGTGAACTTGATTACAATTAGTTGTGAACTTGCTAACGAAGTTCAGACACAGAGTGGCCGAAGTTTTATGAAATCAACTGTAACTTTAGGAAGCCTCAAGTTATCTTTACTCCTAATGTTAAATATAAATATATATATAAATACAGCCATTTACTTTTGATGTACTTGTATGTATATTTGAAGTGGCCATAATTTTTGCAAATGGCTGTATATAAAAATCAATATATATATCAGCATTCTAGAGTCTAGTGAATGTAAAACTATGCGAGGCTAGATTTGCAATGCACTTTTAAATATATAAACATCTATATATGTATTCTTCAACATTCCTCCAGGCGAACCCAACCCAGTGCCTTAAGAGCATCAGTCGCTGACGAGTGYAAAGGTCTGTCTAAAATAATTTTAGCAGACTTATTTTGTAATATTTGTAGAGATTTCATTATTTCTATGTTGGAAGCTAAAGATACAGTATGAACAAAATGTCAGCATAATTATTTTAGTATCAAACACACATCTTCATGTCAACATCTAGGTGTCCTTTGTTGAAGGGTTGTACAAAATGACATGCACCTCTATAATTCACCAAAATTCAAGATCTCTCAATATTAACTAGTTGGGTCTCTTAATTCCTATTATTGATTGCATCAATAGTTTTTCTCACTCTGCAAAACCTTTGCAAAACTGCTTATTACAATTTGATCTGTGAGTTACAAATGGCCATAACCCTGATTTATCAACCCAAAAGTCATTTCAAGATTAATTGATGAAATTTGCAGATCGATTGAAGGTTTGCAATATGTATCCAATAACAGATGTTCATTAAGAAATAAAACAGCTTTTTCTTGATAGTAGATTAATTTGTTTGTTTGTTTGTTTGTTTTTTTTAACAAGGGAAATCACTCAAAAAAACAGTCTCTGCAAGGACTTTTCTAGAAAAAAACTAAGATTTAATATTTTCCTCTTACTTATTTTCTGTCTTTAAAATTGTGACAGTGTATTATCAGTTATTCATTAACAATTTTAACCAGCATTCTCTGACCTTCCTCTTAGAACGTGTCTAATTAGAGAAATATTGCCTCCCCCCTTTATAGCAAAAGTTGACATTCAACCAAACAACAAGGCGATCAAACAGTAACAAACATGCAAAATGTTGCCATTAAAAACTTAACCGCCATCCGCTGTACTAAGGAAAATTAATTAATTAATAATAAAAGATTACCTAAGCTTGATGCATTGGAAGTTGAACTACTATTTTCATTTGAACCACCATCAGAAGAATTGCCTAAAAAACAAAAATATCAAAATTGATGGATAAAATGAATACTTTTTTTTGACCACAGCCAAACTTTGTGTATATAATAACTAATTACATCATTTCTGCATCATGTAGTAATACTTACAGCTCTTATTTACCTTGGGCACAATGCTTTCCGATGATCATACCACATGTCATTCCCTAGAGTATCATTTCTTTGTTTTGGTTGCTTATAAGACTCATGAATATGGATACAACTCAAACAAAGAATCTTATTCTCAAGAGAATGGCACACGGTCGTCTGAAATGTGAAAACATTACACCCAAGTTTAAGAGATCTATTATAAAATGTTTCAAATATAATAATGAATGATATTGAATGCCTCCTTAGATAGGGAGGTAACTGTAAAAAAAAAWTTTTTTGAACTTAGCATATAAAGTGTGACCTGCATGACAATAATATAAAGCAATTACAGTGCAACTACTACAACCCGAGCCACCTAGACAGGGAGAACCAATCAAATTGTAGAATGAAAGCAATACATTCCAACTTTGGATAGTGGAGCTAATCAGAAACCGCCAGTAGCTTGCAACATATCCTTTTATTAAAGTGTATATGACACGAAAACATTTCATCGTTTAAAATGTATAGTTTGTTAGTCGTAATAAATATATCGTAATAAAATGTGTTTCAAAAGCTTATTTCTTGAGATACATGAGAAAATTAAGCCCAATTTGTGACGTCATTTTGTTGACACATACTCTAGATTCAGTAGTAATGCACAAAATATAAATTGTAAATCGTATAAAATAACAACAAAAGGCATATTTTATTCAACTTCATTTGATAGCTTGCGTAGTACTCTCCAAATGTTGGGAAACTGAAAAGTGTACAACCTGAAATTAAGATTCTACATTCAAACATATTTCGTGTATTTGCAACTAAATCTGGAGACTTGTAAACAAAATGACGTCACAACTTGTGCTAAATTTTCTTATATTTCTAGAGAAATACGTTCTTGAAACAAATYTAACCGTGATATTCTTATTAATGCCAATAAAATACACATTTTTAACATTAAGTTTTTTTCGTGTCATATGCACTTTAATGACAATAGCTATCTAGTTAATTACGTGTAGCATCAGGGTCAAATTACCATTTTTGTGCAATCTAGGTTTCTGATTGACTGAACATTGGCTTTGCATTGTTTTCAAATTCCTTCTACAATTTGATTGGTCCTGATTGTAGTAGTCTCACTGTAAATGTGAATAACTACAGCTAGCAATTACAGTGCAATGCGCAAAAGTATGATCACATTCAAAATCTATTAATTGCTCCTAAAACAGTCAGTAAGACATAAGGCGAAAGGTCTTTCTTCGCCGCTGCCCCCARACTCTGGAATACAACCCTGCGAGCCATCAGAGACTCCAACTCCCTTGCTTCCTTTAAATCTAATGTTAAAATGTATTTATTTCCTAAATATTATAATTTATAATTAGCACTTAGCAAATTAATCATATTTATTTATTTATCTTCATCAGAGGCAATATTTTTTTGTAACATTGTACATTTTGTAACCTATATTTTATATATTTAAATCATATATTTTTAATTTCTTAATAGGATATGTAAAGTATTGAAACTTTGTGAAATACTTAATAAATAATAATAATTATTATTATTATTTATCATTATTATTTAATGCATTCACATACTTCTAGGCACTGGCTTTTTCCTGCTAAACGAGCGTTTGCATGGCTAATTTGGTAAAATCAGCCAGCTTCTCATTGAAATATGTTGGCTTAATGTACAGAACCTGCACAAAGAAATATGAGAATACATTAAATGTGGTCATACATTTGAGTATTGCGCTAAAAGCATAAGTGTATAATAGCTGTCAAGAAAGGTGGTACAAGATATTTTTACTGCATAGTAATAATTTAAAATAGGTAAGTAGGTTCAAAAACTTACTTCTTCTTTTGCAGCAACAATATATAACCAGAGCAAGTAAAATAATCAGCACTACTACTATAAACGACAATAAAATTTGTAGGACCAATCCATTCTTTTCGCTCTTTTTTCCACCGCTATGTTCCTTTTCAGTTTTTTTAGAATCGTTGGGAGTGACAGTCTTTTCTGAGTCATTGGTGAAGGGATAGGATTTGTTCTGTGATTCCTCTGTCCTAGGTTGTTTTGCTGTAGGAACCGTTGTTTTTGGTGCCAGAGTCGTTGGATCAGCTGTAGTTGTTGGTGCAGAAGTTGTTGTTGGATCACATGATTTTGCATTATAGGAACATTTCTTTTCCAAATGTTTACATTCCTCTACATGATCATTACTCTTGTCTCCACAGCACCAGCTGCATGGCTTGCAGTGTCCTCTGTCCCTATAATATCCTAGTTTACAGACGCATTTTGTGGTGTCTTTATCTGGCAAACATTGTCCACTCTTAAGTTCATTTTCCTGACACTTTTTACATTTTATGCACTGTCCATTGTCATTTGAGTTTGAGTATGATGTACCATTCTCACAAGGAACACAGTGCACTTTCAACAGTTCATAATATATCCGCCCACATTGAATGGATTGCCCTAATCCATGAGGACATTGCATACACTCCCATTCATAGAAAGAACGATTAGAGAGGCAGAAACCAACTTTATTAATGCCTACATTTCTTGGACATGTAGGTGCTGCATGAATATGACTTATCACCAGACACAGTACATAGATCTGAGGAATAATAAAAATTCCAATCATATAACTTGGTACTTTTAACACATGCTAAATGACTACATTAACCAAGGCCAACCAAACCAATTTTAAATCAATTTTTGGCGCTGAATACCAGGCTGGTGGCCAGTAGAGTTGAAACTTTTTGATCATACACGTACACGTATCACACTGCAATGCGTGATACACATAATTCATACTACTGGTAATAAAAATTAAGGCATTTTGGGTTATAGAGATGATGATTGAAAGAGTGATGGTGAATGATCTTTATATTTTCAAGGACTTTTTTTCAAAGTTCAAGAAAAAATCAAATTCTCAAGATTGTACGAACCACATAATGTCATTCTTTTTTTTTATTTAAACATATTTATCATAACATTTGCCCCAAAAGCAACGAGACTTAACAAGGGGGCTTACGTCTATTTTACAATATAAATAATAAATAGCAAAAGCGGAAATTAGAAAATAAGTACAATAAATACACAATAAATACAAACTAAAATAGTACAACAATCTTATAATGAGATAACAATAGGGGGAAAAAAACTATGTAGCATCAAAGTCGGATTGAAAACGATTAGTGGCTAGAATATATTTTTGAACTTCAGAAAATAGTTTATAATTACTTTTTAAGTCTAATTCCTTAAAGCCATAAAGTAAACAATTTAATTTTTGCTTTTTTGAGAACAAATTTGTCCACAATGATCCACAAATCTGTGCAGTTGAGGTAAGAAAAGAAGAACGTTGAGCAGCGAATCGAGGACATACAAAGAAAAAGTGCATTACTGTTTCATTCGAAGTCCCACAAACACATTTAGAGGCGAACAATTGATACGAAACAAATATTCATTTAAAGCACAAGCTTCTAGTCTAAGCCGGGTGTGTAGAATAGACGCTGTTCTGGAAAAGGAATAATCAAATAATTTGTTATATTTTGGGGAAAAGAATTTGTCACAAATCTCGTTTTTAAAAGTTTGCAAAGATCCTATATTCCTAGTTTGTAGATCCAAAGAATTCCATAATTTAACAACCGACGGAAAAAAAGACTGTGCAAAACGTTCTGTCCTACAAGGATAACATCGTAATGTCATTCGATGTTATGTGAGTTATTTTAGAACACAGAAAATTTTTTTAAAGAATTAAAGTATCAATATGTAATACAATCAAAATGAATGAAAAATTTACTTCACTCACCGTCAATAATATTAAATATCCCAAATATGTCAAAAGTTTCAGTCGAGCGAACGAACTCATCTTGCTCATCTCGGCCTAAAAGCAGATAAACATGAAAAATAAATCAATCATAAAGCCTTTAGCTCTATTTTTTGTTGATAAAACCATCATAAGACATCCTTCATTCGCCCGAATAGGAGTTTATTTATGAGATTCAATCAGTCATTTTAGCATACGAAGGTTTCTTAGCTATATATACTAGCGGCTTACCATTGGTGAAAAGATTTAGGTAAAACCTGTTGAATTCTTATCCTCTGGATCTGAAAAGAAATCCCGAAAGACTTTTTAAACATTATCTTAACCAATAAAGCAAATTTTATACCAATCGATAGCTTACTTATGATATTTTGGACATTTGATTGCGATGAATATTGAAGGTGACATAAAGCCATGACTATGCATAAGCTTATTATTACTATAAACTCACGCGTTTTTATAAGTTGTAATCTTGTTTAGATGCTTGTTTAGTATTTAGAATTATCTTGAGATAGATCGTAAGTAGTGGAACCAAATAAGGGGACGTGGGATTACCCCTATTTAACACCTTCTTCGTCGAAGAGGCCAGCGAAAATAATAAAAGATTAGCAATTCAGCAAATTTTCTTTGATCTTTTTATGCATGTAATGATGTAATGCATATGCTCAATGTGAACACAGGAAGCCCAAATAAAACGTCAAATTATAAAACATTCAGCCAAAGGATATTATAGATACGATATTTCTTATTTTCTCATTCTTATGAGGTTTCATCATACCTGTAGTTCAAAACTCGATAAAATTTAATTTATTAATTCAGAAAATGGGTATGGAACTGAGTCAGCGAGTACTATTGAAAGACGCTTGAAAATAAATAGATGATGGCTAGTAAACACTAGCGTGGACTGCGTCGGTGTTTCTAATGAAACAGTTATCGTAGATTGATATGTTTTACACCGTAGTGAAAATAGGAACTGACGTTGACTCCGACGAAGGACTAACGTCCGAAACGTCAGTTTCTATTTTCACTACGGTGTAAAACTTATCAATCTACGATAACTGAAAATAAATAGGAAAACTGAAGCAACAGTTGCATGTCAAGCTTCAATAAATTCTTTTAAAACATTGACAGATTGCGTGCATAACTTCACGTACTGATCCAAGTCAAGTCTAGTCTGCGTTCAGCCTCAAAAGAAACGCAGGCTAATATAAATCAAGTCACGATCATTCTGGATCATTCTGGATCATTCTCGTTCTAGCCAGCGGAAGGCTCTAGAAGAGTCACGCCTCCTGTGGACTATTGGCTTCCGAGACATTAGAATTAAAAATTACTGTGACTTCGAAATCATCATTGCAATAAAAAAATTTACCCTATATGGATATGTTTTTGTGGATAACGAAGGCTATCCATTACATTTCAGCCGTCGATAAGATCGTCTATACCACGTCATCTTTCTCAGGGAGGGTCTGCTTTTGAGCTTCTTTACGGCAAGTACGAATTGTTTACAGTTATCGTGGAACTTGAAATCTTCATTTTGTGAAAGTTGAATATCTCTAGCCATTACTGTACGTGTTTTTACTCCGTTGATTATGGCGAGGGAAGAAGAATACCAGCAGTGCTCGTGACCGAAGGAAAAGCGTGAGTATATGCGGAAGTAAGGGAATCTTGACCTTCTTGGAAAATGTCAATCTCGTTCCCAGAGCCCACGTGCCTCTTGGTCAGCACCGCCAAACGAGAGGCCCTAGGTGTCGATCGAATTACAGCAAATGTATAGAATTTGTAAACGATATACGGCTGAAACCGATTTTTAATTTTTATTTTGATTGGAAGTAAACACAGAACTCTGTTTTAAAGCATGATTTTCACTGATTATATTCCACTTCCGGAAAATTTACGCATGCGCCATAAGATAGATTATGCCAGAGCCCTCGTTCGCCAGGCTAGAAGAAACGTAGGCTCTGGGTACGAGATTGAGCTGTCGTAGGGTCGTTGCAGGGATATTACAAAAATCTGCAAACTTTTTATAACAGATTAATCCCTAGATTAATTGCTTTTCTCGATTTTTTTTACCACTTCGTACGGTAAGTTAATATAACTATTTGTGAGTATATTACTATTTTCCCGCTCTTTTTTTACAATTAGCGAATGAATTTCCGACCGGTTTAAATGGTATCACCGCTCGTTACCCATCCACCATTTTCCACACATCGGTTCACTAGTCAAACACAAAGCATTCAGACATAATGAATCTTCGTAGGGTTACTACACCTTTTGCCGTTCATTAACAGAAAATGTACATTCATTTGTGCCAATAGTTGTATCAATAACGTGTAATGTACTTTCATCAACACCACAAGTAACATCATTAGCGCGGATCAACTTTCAATAACGA